AGTCACATTTAATTGGAAATGTGAACGACCTCACAAAAACATCAGATTTCACAAAAAAATCTGAATTGAGCATTAAGCCCTGCAGTCTGAATGTAGTCTTAGTTAAATTCATCCATCACGCTTGGCTAAAATCACAATAAATATTAAATATGTTGAAAACACACAATCTTATATAAATAGATTACAATTTATTCATAAGTAGGACAGCAGCTGGAACAAAGCTCCTTTTAAAACAATTCTAGATCTTGGGACTAAAAGCCTCAGACCAGAGGTCATATATTGTCATGTAGTGCGTCTGTACAAGTGGTGACAGTTGAGATAAGACTCGTTGGAACAGTAAAACAAGACTAAATGTTGTTTTGAAGTAGTTTTGATTTTAAAAAATGACAGTGATTTTTATATGTTTCCAGGTTCTTTTTTCAGACAAAGAGGAACTCTGAGGAAGAGCGCAGGGAGCAGTCCAGACTGTCAGGTATGAAAACAAACAGTTGGTCTGAAAAAAAGAACCTGAAAACATCAATTATCGGAAGACCAAATGAACCTCATTGGACTAGTGACTTTTACAGTTACACAAGCTGGGCTGTTTTCACTTGTATACCTCAGTAAATGTATTTTGAAGTACATATTTCTCTCATTCAGTCTACCAGAACTAAAACATTAAAAACTATCTCTCTTTTCCCTCTAATATCCAGAAGCTGCCTCTTCATCTCTCCTCTCCTGTTCGGAGACTAGACTGGAATACATCACAGCTCCATCAGCGCGGAGGATTTAGGGACAATCTGCTGTTAATGTGGGGTTTTCAGAGTGAAGAGGGAAGGACAGGGAGCGTGAGAGACAGAACGAGACATGTGGAGAGAGAGAAGGACGGAGAGGGGGAAGAGTGGAGCGGGTCAAACAGATGAAAGTGAGAGGACATCGGGGCGTTTAGGGACACTCTGAAATCACAGGTTTGACGGTCGGTGTAATGGTCGCCCTACACACACCTCCAGACCTTTACACACATGTGTGCTGTCCCTCTCGAGCCCGCCCTCCCGGTGTTCCAAAGGGCACGATTGACAGCTGGATCAGCCAATCAGGTAAATGCGAAGTCTGTCTGTGTCAAAACAAACATCAGCATCTTAAAAGTCAAAAAGAAAATAAAAACACACAGTGGTAATTGAGTTAATAGTGTTATTATTATTATTATTTCTTTTTAATCATTGTGGTAGTGGAATTGGTTTTGATTCTCGAGTCTCTTCCTTTGTATTGAAAGTGAGATAGTGTGAAGTCAACTACAGTGGTCAGCTCCAGTCAAATGAAGCTCACTGAGGGAAGCAATTATAGGAATAGGAACTGATTTACAGACACAAGAGCAAAATAAAAACCCTAGGAGCATATAGTTCAAAATTAACTTTATTGTCTTGTCTATATATTGTGAGTTATGATATGTTTTTGTTTTTCAAATAAACCAGTCTTTTTTTTTTTTTTGTCTAATTAACAAAAATGTGTAGTAAAGATTATTATAGTATTTCTTTGTTTTTTATTACAGTAATTGATCATTTTAACAAATACATTTGAATATAATCACAAATCATTTTTGTAAATACAACATTAACATTCTGTTTATTAGTTTACAAAGGTTTAACTGTATTCAGTTACAGTTACTGTTTCAGTGAGTGGTAATTGGATTACAGTTACTTTGTTGAAGTAAATGGATTACACGGTGGTATTTTCCTGTTTTCACATTTTGGGCTATTCCCTTTTTTTTTCTCGATAATTCCACTCATTGCCGGAAACTAAACCAGGTCTCACACACACACACACACACACACACACACACAAACACACGCAACACACACAGACATATAAACACACACACACACAACACACACACACAAACACACACAGACATATAAACACACACACACACACAGACATATAAACACACACACACATACACACACAAACACACGCACACACACACGTGCACACACACACACACACACATATAAACACACACACATACAAACACACACACACAAACACACACACATACACACACATACAAACACACACACACACACACACACATACAAACACACACACATACAACACACACACATACAAACACACATACAAACACACACACATACACACACATACAACACACACACATACAAACACACACACACACACACACACACACACACACACACACACACATACAAACACACACATACACACACACACATACAAACACACACATACACACACACACATACAACACACACACATACACACACACACACACACACACACACATACAAACACACACACATACAACACACACACACACAACACACACACATACAAACACACACACATACAAACACACACACATACAACACACACACATACACACACACACACACACTACAAACACACACACATACAAACACACACACATACAAACACACACACACACACACACACACATACAAACACACACACACACACACACATACAAACACACACACATACAAACACACACACATACAAACACACACACAAAACACACACATACACACATACAAACACACACACATACAAACACACACACACATACAAACACACACACATACAAACACACACACACATACAAACACACACACATACAAACACACACACACACACATACAAACACACACATACAACACACACATACAAACACACACACACAAACACACACACATACAAACACACACACATACACACACACACACACACACATACAACACACACACATACAAACACACACACACACACAAACACACACATACAAACACACACATACAAACACACACACACACACAAACACTGTGTTCATTTTCTTTCTCACTCTCACACACACACAACACATCAATCAAGTTTAAAGAAACAATCATCATTTCACTTGTTTTTCTATGAAATAAATGACTTTTGTCCAACACTTGTGAGGACATTGTGTGTGGGATTAGTGTCATATACAGGCCTTACAGGTTACAAAGTTTTATATGTTTCATGCTGCACATATTTACAAAAGATCTTGTAACTGTTTTCACTGTCTTATATAAATCTTTTTAGATTCAGATAAAACATGTTAAAATGGTGTATGATTTGTCTATATCTTTTCCATATGGTATCCAGGATCACGCAAACATGCACGGACCAATCGAAATATAACTCTGAGTAACATAATAAAGCATTACATCAGAGCTCTCTTTAGTCTCTTTAGCAGAACATGTCTCCTCTTGGATGATTTATGTCCAAGTGCTGCTGAACAAAGCCTCACTTGTTAAACAGGACATTAAATCTGCACTGAGCCCTTCCAGTACAGTTCAGATCATATCGTTTAGTCTGATCCTCGGGCCGTCACACTCATTATCTCATGTTGATGTTTGTTTGTGGCTAATGACGCAGCAGGAAAGCACAACTCGAGCTTATTTTAGGGCCTGGAAAATGGACGCCGCCGGGGAGCCATGTTGGAAAGGGCTGTAGACGAGATGAGAGGGGCTTTATTGTGCAGTCCAAACGCGTCGTCATCAGAGCGGGCTCCACAAACACTGAGCCAGTACTAGTTTAAGCAGATGGAATGTAGTGTCTGTGGAAAAGAACAGTTGTGAAGACGGGGAAGAGATAAGCGACAGAGAATTATAGATTCAAATATGAGTGTAAGAACCCATATGGAAAAGTTATAGACAAATCATACACCATTTTAACATGTTTTATCTGAATCCTAAAAGATTTGTATAAGACAGTGAAAACAGTTACAAGATCTTTGGTAAATATGTGCAGCATCAAACATATAAAACTTTGTAACCTGCAAGAGCTGAATATGACACTAATCCCACACACAATGTCCTCACAAGTGTTGGACAAATGTCATTTATTTCATAGAAAAACAAGTGAAATGATGATTGTTTCCTTAAACTTGATTGCTGTGTTGTGTGTGTGTGTGTGAGAGTGAGAAAGAAAATGATCACAGTGTTTGTGTGTGTGTGTGTGTGTGTGTGTGTGTGTGTGTGTGTGTGTGTGTTTGTGTGTTTGTGTGTGTTTGTGTGTGTGTGTGTGTGTTATCATGGGGGTAAACACAGTAATGTAAATCTTGCATTACAACCTTAAAAAACATCTTCCACTGATCTCACAGTGAACAAACATCAGGCTGTAAAAATATTTTTACTCTGCAAAATCCTAATTATTACAAAGGTTATATTGACTTGTAATATTCCAAAAAGCAGCTGTACACTTCTGTCTTCTACAAGGTACTTGTACTTGTCCTCAATATCTGCTGTTGTTCCCTCTGGAATCAGTAGATTCTGACTTCCACATGCTACACTGTAAACCCGAACGTTCAAAGTAATTAAATAGATTAAGTTATGGAAACTCAAAGATTTAGAAATAGTCCTACTAACTTAATTATATTAAGTTGCTGTAACATGTTCTTCTTTTTGAGTAATGGTAACTAATATTTTTTGATTAAAGGGAACTATTGTGGGTACAAGTGAGCATAACATAAAAACATAGACGAGGTACAACTTAGTAGAATTAAGTAATTAAATGCTGAGATGGGTAAAGTCCTGTTATTTTTATTGCTTCAAATAGGGATGATTTTAAAATAAAACTTAATTTACATAGTACATGCTGAAATACAATACAATTTCAAAGCGCCTCACCAAAGAAGTAAAATCTAATGTGGATTATTTTGCACTATATGCAATTATTTTTAAGTCAATTTTTTTTATTATTTTTAAGCTAGTATTTATTATCTGTGTTACCTTTTCCTGCTGTTCTGAAATAGTGCGTTGCAACACTTGGAATTTCCCCACTGTGGGACTAATAAAGGCATATATTATCTTATCTTATCTTACTATATATATATATATATATATATATATATATATATATATATATATATATATATATATATATATAGAGAGAGAGAGAGAGAGAGAGAGAGAGAGACACATAGATACATAGCTGCACTCTAGTAAATTGACCCAATGAACAATTTGTTCATTGAGCATGTCTTGCGCTTGCGCTGTGTCAACTCAACCCGCCAACATAGGGGGCAGCACTCAGTAACTCAGCAGAAGAGACATGCGTGCCATGTGCTCGGGCCTCTGGACCATCCACCAGCAACGTGACCAAGACCTCTTCTTATCAACGGCTGCTTCTGTTTCCCCGCGATTAAAGGTAATTTTTAATATACTTTTAGACTTGTCTTAATAAGTGTGACCTATTTGTACGCACTGAGGCACGGAAAGTAATCTACTTAGAGATGATTAAAAAAAAAAAAAAATAATTATATATATATATATATATATTATTTTTTTAATTTTTTATTAATTATTCGTATGGTAATTATTATTTCGGGGTCAAAGCCATAAAATCGCCGTTTATTTTTGATACCATATGCGATTATACCCTTATGTTTGCTTATGAGGAGGGAAAAGTTTGATTTTATTTAGTTTATCCCAACCCCCATTTTGTGCTAACGTTAATACAACACTTGACAGGGTGAGGTAAGTAATGAAATGGTTTTGCTGTGCGCACTAAGTGAAGTTAAAGGCATAAGTCCTGGGAGAACATGTGAGACGAGCGGGCAGCGGCTAATAGAACAGCGAGCGGCGACTTGCTAGTGCTCCGAGCCGCCGGAGCTGCAGCGGTGTCCTCCCTATGCCTTGGCCGCCGCTGGGACTCTTTGTGTGGGGCGTCGCGGTGAAGAGTCTTCCGGCGCTCTCCGGTGGGTTTTCCGTGCTGCTGTTGAGCACTTTAGTTTGGAGAAATGGCGCGGTTGTTGATTAACTATGCATCCATAAAGAGTTACACGCCGCTATTTAGACATCGACGTCTAATTGTCAGAGTAGCGGGTTATTCCGGAGACGAACAATCATTTTGCTAGGAGTCACGTGGTGCCCCTGCAAGCACTAGGTGCCCTACGCGCTGTGCCCACTGCACAGCGTTTACGCACGTAACCTCGCGGCACGGGCATTAGATTTGCGTGCGCAGGACGCGCTGCTCCATACGTGCGCCTGTCGCGTTACGTGGAGCCGCCCTCATTTACTTTTCATGGGTGCGCATAGATGTCTGTAGGAGCCTAAACCCAGTTTGTAGTATTTTCATTATTGAGATAATTATTCTTATTTTGTTTGATTTAATGTTTACTTAAAATGCATGATTTTTGGTATTTTGGTGGTTCTTTATGGTTAACTTGATTATTTGTTGATTATTTGTTACAAAGTAATTTGATCTATTTATATTTTTTCTTTAATTAATTATTGCTAATGTTAATCATAAGTTTACTTAAGTAATGTTTAATTTTTGTATTATTTTGTGGTCTACGGCTCCCTATTTAAGATGTGGGCAGGTGCACCGGGAGAGGGTGGAGTGGAGCCAAACAGTTTTTTGACCTCCTGTCACCTACACGTTAAAGTTCCTCTTTTTTGTTTGTATCTGTATGTCCTATAATGTGAATCAGCAGTAAAGAGTTTTTAAATTGCACTTGGATCGCTGTTCGTGGATTCTTTCATTTTTGATGCATTTTAAAGGTGGAACAAGGTGTGCAAAGCGTCAACTATGGCTTCACAAATGTTTGGACCTTACAATGTCATTGAGAAACACAGAGCCCTTGCTGCGAGGTTGCGCGCGTAAACGCTAACGCGTGCAGTGGAGCCTAGGCTTAATGGGGAACTACGGAACTGCCTTCTTTGTGTGCGCTTTTTGTTGCACATTTAAAATCAGTAGTAGCGGAAAACTGGCATGTCGTAATATCGGGATAGGCTGCTGACCCCTTCATAAAGTTCAAGTGCAGCTGCTTTTACAGTAATGTTAATTTTGCTTGATAGCTTTAGTAGCATGACACTGGGAATAAAATAAAAAAAATGACCATTAACAGACCGATCAGTTAATGTGTTTGTATCTCTCTGTTCTAGTTTGAAGGAGTTCAGATGGAGTTAAAAGATTATTGGTGATAGTTACAAGGTAATCAAATGAATGTTAATTCTTCTATGAATGTTTTTCAAATTTGATATTCTGAAAGTGCTTAATTGTTCGGCTTCAGATCAGTTAATGTGTTTGCATCACTGTGTTCTAGTTTAAAGGAGTTCAGACGGAGTTAAACATTACTGGAGATAAAGTTACCAGGTAATCAAATGAATGTTACTTCTTCTGTCAACCTCCCCACCCTCTCACACCATCATTTATTCTGCTTTCCTGTTTGAACCAAATGAAATCTTTTGCCATATTAAACTTAACAATTCATAAATGTGTTCTTTTCATAAATACAATTTTCCCATTTTTTTTTGACACTGCACAGATGACTTAACTTTGGTTTTGCTTCCAAAAAAAGATGATTGGTCTGAAAATTTGTCAAAACTGAATTGGATTTGTCATAAAAACACTTCAAAAACTAGTAAGTTGTACTATTTTCTGTAGATGTTGTATACAACAAATTGTGTTGAGGACATGTTGCCAATTTAACATCTTGTGTTAAGCTAATAATAATGTTATATTAAGTATCAGCAATTCTGTTTTAAAAGTTGGTGTAAAAGTTTTCATTGTTTTTTTCCCTTTTAGGTTGCTAGTTCCAGAATGACCTGGAAATGTAAGTTGTGTCCAGCTTCTTTCAACTCCAGAATACTGTTATTTAGACACTACAGGTTGGAGCACAGCCAGTATTCTAGAACCAGCCCTCTTCCTTGCCTCTACACTGACTGCATTTGTACATTTCAGACACTTAATGCACTGAGTACTCATTTATCAAGATATCATGCAGCACAACCTATCAGTCATACACAGCAGAGTCAGGGGCCTGTGTTATTTAAATGCCCTTTATGCACATTTCAGCAACCCCTTTCTGAATCTGCTGTTTTCAGTCATCTCCGAAAGCATTTGAAAAATCATGAAACCGTGACATGCCCTTATAAGGATTGCACCTATAGCACAAATGTATACTCCTCATTCAATTCTCATAAAAGTAGAGCACACCAAGCAGATCTCGCGTCAGACTTTAAAACTGATCTTGTCAGTGAGGATCCAGACAATCTTCTAGCCAGTATTTCAGAAACTGAAACTATTGGTTTACATGAAGAATGCCCTAGTCAGAGCAGAGAAGTGGTGAATGGGAATCAGAGTGGCACAGTCAGTTTAAGAAATCAACTTAAAATTAACATGTCTTCCTTATTCTTAAAGATGCAGGCTCTCCTCCATGTCTCAAACATTGCTACTCAGGAAATAGTAGATCACTTGAATCAGATCTTCTCCTTATCTGAGCCGCTGATCAAAGAGGCAGTTCATGACATACTTCAGCAAAATGGTCATAGCATTTCTGAACCTACACTGAGTGAAGTTGTTGCTGCTGTCATGGACTGCAATGTTCTGTCTACAACAACCTGTAAAGGTGCTGAGTTGTGTTCAGCAAAGCGCAGAAAAACCTTTATTGAGCACAACTATCCTTGTGTAATGCCAGTGGAGTATCAGCTAGAGCCTGGACATACCAGCATGTATGTTCCTGTCCTTTCAATGATTCAAGAGTTGTTTAGAAACACAGACATGCTTAACAAGATTACAGAAACAAATACTACATTTGGTCAATATGTATCATGCTCCAGTGGCTCTCATTTCCTTGAAAATGAATTGCTGTCAACTGGGGATCTCATCTTACCGCTCCAGATATATATTGATGAACTAGAAATTTGCAATCCATTAGGCACATCACGCAAAATTCACAAAATGTGTGCTGTATATTGGGTCCTTGCTAATCTTCCGCCAAAATACAGATCAACATTACATGCTATACAGCTAGCAATATTGGTAAAAGTGACAGACCTTCGTAAGTATGGATATGCAGCTGTACTTGCTCCATTGCTGCGTGACGTTCATACTCTGGAAGAAGATGGAGTATTCATTGAAAGAGTTGGTCAGAATGTTAGAGGCACTGTCTTTTGTGTTTCTGCTGACAATTTGGCTGCTCATGGATTAGGTGGCTTTACAGAGTCCTTTAGAGCAGGCCATGTTTGCAGATTCTGTATGGCCTCAGTTGAACAGTTTCAAGTAACTGAAGTCAGAGAGAGAACATTTTCTCAGAGAACTAAAGCTAGCCATGACCTACATGTACAAACTGTTCAAGAAAGTGAAATTTCAAGCAGCCACTTTGGCGTTAAAGGTAGCTGTGTCTTGCGTGAGTCTCTGAATTACTTCCATACAATCACAGGGTTTCCTCCAGATATACTCCACGATCTTCTGGAAGGTATAGTTCCGATGGAGCTTTGTCTTTGTGTTAAAGAGATGATCCGACTGAAGTACTTCACTTTGAAGTATTTGAACAACAAGATTAGATCATTTCCATATCAACATACTGATAAAGTGGATAGACCTCAGCCACTTCACCAAATGTGTCTCTCTCGGGGAACAATTGGAGGTAATGGACATGAAAATGCCACTCTGCTCAGACTTCTTCCATTGCTTGTTGGCAGTTTAGTACCAGAGGGTGATAAGGCATGGGCAGTTTTGATGGAACTGAAAGAGGTGGTAGAATTGGCTTTGTGCCCATCATTTACTGATGAAACCTTAGACTATTTTGTTTGCAAAATCAGCGATCATAGACAGGCACTGCTAGAGGTTTTCCCAGAGGTTAGGCTCCGTCCTAAACATCATTATGTGGAGCATTATCCTGCTCTAGTTAAGTGCTTTGGCCCCCTGCTGCATTTTTGGACTATGCGGTTTGAGGCCAAGCACCGCTTTTTTAAAAGAGTGGTGCATGACTCTCAAAATTTCAAAAATATTTTGAAGACAATGGCAATCAGACATCAGCACATGATGGCATATCATCTTGCTGCACCATCATTTTTTAAGCCAAACACTCAAGCATCCAGGGTTGACTCTGTTCTGGTTTCAGCTCTACCAGAGGCTGCTCAGGTACACATTAGAGAGCAAACAACTACTGACACAATCTACAAGACATCAAAAGTAACCATTGATGGCACAGACTATGTCTGTGGAATGTTTCTGTCTGTAGGAGTCAGCGGTGGACTATCTAAATTCAGCAAAATAGAACAGATCTTCCTTGTCAATCACAATGTATCTTTTCTGTGTTGTGATTATGACTCTTGGTATGTAGAACATCTACGGTCCTACGAGCTGTCGACTGCAAATACAAGCCTGTCAATCCACCTTCAGTCTGAGTTGAATGATACAGCCCCCCTCTCAGCATACAAGGTAGACGGATCGCTGCTGCTGACCCCCAAGAGGTTCATTCAAGTGAGAGGGAACTGAGTTCAGGTAAAAGAGATTACTTTTATTTACCAGTTATAGTCTGTCTTCACTCTGTGGAATTACGCAAGTTGTACACTAGATATGATACACTTTTAACAACCTGATTTTGTCTTTTCATTTAGCACAATGGCAGCTGCATCTCCACAACCAATGATCCTTCGTGTTGTTGATCCAGACCAGGCTAGAAAACTAAAACTCAGCTCAAGACCAGCCTCTGTTGATGCACTGATCAAGATTATAAAAGAACAATTGGAAATTGACCTCCACTTTGATTTGCTGTATGAAGATCCAGACTTTGACGGGAAGCTTACTTCCCTTACAGACATTCAGGATTTGCCACAAAAAGCTATTGTCCACATCGCAGTTTCAGAGGACTCCAGCTCTATTGCATCTACTATTCTGCTTTCAGATGTGTCATCTCCAGAGCGTCTCTGCAGATGGCCTCCTGGTCCTTTTTCCAGTTCCCACATTTGCATTTGATGTTGAGCTGAAACTTCGAGATGGAAATGCAGAATATGAGAAGAGCAACACACACACCTTAAGTTGACAAGAGACCTTAAGCACGACATTTTGGAAAACCTTGCATCGACTATATATGGTTTTAAGGCTTACCCAAGTGATAAAGAGATTGCAATGGCTGCTGAGGCTCTTGTAGCCAAACATCCCTGTTTGAAGGAAGCTGGATCTGAAACTGGCTGGAATGGGTGGAAAAATAGCATCAAGTTTAAGATGGGCAATTTCCGAAGCAAGATGAGACGGGCTGGTTGTCAGGAGGTTAGCGTTAATGCCGGAAAAAGAAGCAGAAGTAATCCTGAAAATGAACCTTCACATTCCAACATTAAAAGACCCAAGCGAGCTGAGATCAACTTCCTCATTCTCGTCATTGAAGGTGATGTTGTGGTCAGCCTCCCAGGAGCCTTCCTTCCTGGTAGTCTTTGGACTTATTCTATCTGCCTACAGCAAGCTGCACTACATTTTCCCTCAGTTATCCCAAAGCTGACTGACCACTGCACTGAACACTTTGAGGTCTAATTTAACCAGGTCTCAATTATAATTAGAAAATTAGTAGTAATGATTTACTTGGTAGAACTGAGCACTCAGTATTGTAGTAAATACTGAGGGGCATTTGGAAGCACCATTAGAATGAAAATTCAGATGTGCAGTATGCAAACATTAGATCATCCCTAGGTCAAGATGTCAACATTTGATGATTAAGTAAGTTTAACTGAATGACCATGAAACTAAGGTAAACATATTGACCCTCATTTCTTTATCTATTATCAAGGTTAATAATGCTATTTCCTTAAGTCACCAAATTTGTTATTATGCTTTATTATCTTATAGTTTAATGGTCTTATCATGTCATATTTTGCTTAATTATGAACTTATGATTATTTTATAGCAATTGATTGCTGTGCTATTATTTTTAGTTTGTACATTCACATTAGAAGAGCCATTGAGTTGCAGTACAGTACAGTGACCATAATGAACGAACATCAGAAAGCCTTCAACTGGCCTAATACACCTCAGTTATCCCAAAGCTCTGACCAGCACTTTTGAATTCATTTTTACTTGTCTATTAACTGTCAAGGTTGCAAACCATTAAGATGACTTTGATGCATTTAACTAAACCTATGATCGTTTATGATCTTATCAAAATAAAATGTTAAATTTTGTGCCTTATTTATCAACATTATTATTAGTTTGTACGACATGAACGAACACAAAAAAAATTTTTTTCATTCTCATTGTTTTATGTGCAATCAAACGATAAACTTTTGATGCCTTTGTTAACATTTAGTTTGTATGACCATAAGCGGGAAAAAAATCTAAATTTTTTTATTCTCAGTTTAGTTTGTACGATCAAACTAATATTGATAAAGAAGTAAGGAAGTAAAAACCAAAAAAATGATGTAGGTTAAAGGGTACAACATGTTAACGACAAGTTAAAAGTTCTTTTGTCTAGATATTGCTTTAGAGTTACTGCAGCCAATGTTCAGTCAATAAGACCAAACTTAACTGTTTTGTAAGAAAAAAATTACCCAGTAGTCACTGTGAATTTGTTGTGCATAGTCACTATGCATTTGTTCTTATACTCTTGTTTTATAGTCTATATGCCATTCCATTGTAACTTCTGCACACTGCGTGCCATTTTATTTTTTATTTAATTTCAGTGTGCAAGGGCAAAAACACAAATAAAGATTTGAGTTTGGGTAACATAAAATGATGTGGTTGTGTACTTTTTTTTTTAAGTTCTGTGAGCGTTTTTCTGTGGTTTGAAAACTCCCTATTTTAAATCATAATAAATTAAAATAATTGAGTTGCTTAACAGAAAACTATGAGTTTATATTAACTGCAAATATTTGAGTTGAGCTAAATGAGCACTTTTAATTCAGGTCTTATCAAAAGGTACAAGTAGCAAGCAATCAAACCTTTTAAGTACTGGAAATTGTGACTTTTAAGTTTATCAACTCAAAAAAATTGAGGCAATTTATTGCCTCAATTTTTTTGAGTTCTGGTAACTTATTCGGGTTTACAGTGTAGACCTGGGTTCAAATCCCCCTTCAGACTCTGACTGTTTTTTCTGCAACATATAATTAACCCTCTCAGGCTCAAATAAAATTTAGTAACAGGAAAAAATCTGATATTTGGGGAAAATGATCATATGGGGTAGTAATATACAATCCTGACTTTTTTTTTGAGAGAGACCTTCACATCCAGTGTGTTCTGGGATGTTGCAGATTTGCAGCATTGGTCCGGTGTGGTAAATTAACACCGAAGACTGAAAATTATATGAACGCTAACTTTATGTTTATACCACTTTTCATAACAATGAAAACATAAAGCACAGTGTAACAGCTTTACCGTGGCAGAACAACATCACTTTTTCGTGTGGTGTTGTGTGGAGCCGTTCTTACACAGTCTGCATCATCCATATTTATCATCATGGCTTTAAAAAAAGTCTCCTGAGTAAAAAAAGCTCATAAAATCTGGATATGGAGTAAGTAGGTGACTGGCATTTAGCTGTTGCAAATCTGCAACGCCTGCCAGGAGAGGGTTAAAGAATACAAACTTTACATGGAACATACAAAGAAAATGTAGTTTATCATGCACATTACCTGTAAATGTCATGCAAAATGTTCACTTTATCTTTACCAGTTTTTCATAATATAGTTGTATGAGAAAAATGCAAAAGGGGAAACACACACAGGAGTAAACCACACATGACACATATTAACCTTATATAAAGATTTACTACAAAGACACTGGTCAATTCTTATATTTTTTTTCCCAGTTTTTTTTTCCATATGGGAAGCCAGAACAAACATTTCAGTAAGGAAAGGTCACAGTGCTGTTCCTAGTTGTGTTCACTTCAAAATTTCTGAATGAGCGACTGAGGTCTTCTTCAAAACAAAAACTAACTTGAGATTTAAGTCATGCTATAACGCTGTTACCTCCTCAAAACATATCCAGGGTTGTGTTTTGTTTCGTTCACACGTTTGAGCGATTCTACATTATTCATCTATGTTTCCACCACCTCGTGATGTCATGCAGTGGTGTAGTTTTCAATTGAACAGCTCATTTTACCTTTAATTGAGAAGAGACTGGAATTTTTTATTTTTTTTTTTTAGATTCTCTCAATTTGGTTCCATATCTGGCCAAAAATATTTGGGTCCAATTCTTATGCAAATTAATTCATATTTAGAGGTTGCTCAACAAACTTGAAAATAGAAAGAACAAAAATGTGTCTGTGTGCTGCAGGTGTTCCAGTCAGTCGGAGCAGGTAGAGGGCGCTCTTGGAAAAAGGATCAAAACTTAAAACAATTTATATACAACATAATATAAAAAATATAGGTAAAAGGCCTTTATTTAAATGCTTAGTAAACCTGTTGGCTTTAGCCATTTAAATAAAAGGCCTTTTAACTATATTTTCCCTTAAGCGATTTTTACTTCTTTGGAGTGCCTGGCGTCTGTTGTGTTTTCACTCTTTCCCCCTTGGACGCCTACTTGGAACAACCCATACATATATTAGTATGTGTGGGTTGTAGTGGCCCCCACCAATCACAGCCTCTGTTTACATGTGAAAAACCGAGCCATTTGTAATGGTCGTCAAATCACGTCTTTAGTGAAACAGCGGAGGAGTCAAAAGACGTCATTAAGGAAACAAGGGAGGGTCATCAAATGTAGTCTTCATGGGGGAAAGAGTTAATATTTGAAAATTGCCCTATAAAGTCTATATCAGGGGTGTCCAAACTTTTTTCATCAAGGGCCACATATGTAAACACAGATGAAGCAGAGGACTGATCGAGGGCTGTAGACTGATGCTCAGTACAGTGAATTATTAAAATATGTGCATGTTTAACACACTAGAATGATCTGATCCATCAGTTTTTATTCATGCTAAGATCCTTAAAACTACACACCAATATTTAATATTTAGCTTTATCAAGCTAGATTAAAAAAAAAAAAAAAAACTTGCAGTAAAAAGTTCATTTTTAATTGATGCAAGGTTATTTGGCCCAATTCACCTGGAAGCCTGAGGGCCAAGAAAAAATTTGTCTAGGGGCCGCATTTGGCCCACGGACCATAGTTTGGACATGCCTGGTCTATACTATAACACCAAATACCAAGTAAATAAGGTGCATTCAAATAATTTGTAATTTTATTCTGCAAACACAAACTGAAACTTGCATAAAAATGACATAGAAAGTAAATGAAAAGTGATGTAGAAAGTCCAGCTCCACTGTGTGTTTGTTGCTTTGTCACTAAAGATGCTCCTGTGTCTTTGACTCCTGCAGTAGATCCTGTTTCTGATCTTCATTCTTTATTCTACAGTTCACTGATCTGCTCCTTCAGAATCTGCTTGATTAAGAACGTCACGTCGCTTTGGTGGAACCTCTGAAACTTCTTTTTCCATGATATTGTGATGCATCATCTTCTTCTGTTCTTCTGTCACACTGGAGTGAAGAATGTCAGGACAAACATTTCTTTACTCAAGTACCAAAGATATCAGCCTAAAGCTGTTCAGGCATTTTCTTCACAACTGAATGTTCAGACTGTGGAGCTTTTTAAGGAACCAAATCATCTGCAGGAGCAACCTCTAAAACATCTCCTTTTTCTTCCAAATTTCTTCCTAAATCATCTTTTGAATGCTAAAACCTAATGTTATTATTATTTGAAACTTTATTTATTTATTTATTTTATTTATTTATTTATTTTTATATTATATTATTAATTATTATTATTATTTTTTTATATTATATTATTTTATTTATTTATTTATACCATGCTTTGATGGACCAGCCTACAGTCTATTATTTTCATTTTTTGTCTATACACTTTTTTGGAATTAAATCAATACGAGGTATACCTCTGA